TACACTACAGGTGTTCGGGTTCGGTAAGATTTTTAAAATATTTTTGAAAGAAGATTCTTATGCTCACCAATTCTGCATCTATTTAACCAAAATACAGTAAAACAGTAATATTGTGAAATATTATTACAGTTTAAAATAACTTGTTTTCTATTTTAATATTAAAAAATATATATTTTATTCCTGTGATTACTCCAGGAATAAAATTTTTATTTCAGGATTATAGAAAATAGAATAGAAAATAGAAATAGGTAAAAATAAATATTAACATAACAGTTTTTATTTTGAAATATACATATTTTATAACCTTACAAGTGTCTTCATTGTCACTTTTGACCAATTTTTGTTACTTGAATAAACATATATTATTTTTATTTATTTTTTTTACGGAAGAGGATTAGGGCCAAGCAATAATAAAAAAAAATAAAACCATCTCGAGATTAAAGTCGTTAAATTGCGAGAAAATACTCTTTAAATTTCAAGTAAAGTCGAGATAAAATGTTGAGATTAAACTCATTAAATTTAGAGAATAAAGTCGTTATGTTTCGAGAAAAAACTCGTTAAATTTCGAGGAAAAAAAGTCAAAATAAAATGTTGAGAATAAACTCATTAAATTACGAGAAAAAAGTCGTTAAATTGCGAGAAAAAATGTCGAGATAAAATGTTGAGAATAAACTCATTAAATTACGAGAAAAAAGTTGTTAAATTGCGAGAAAAAAACTCGCTAAATTTCAAGGAAAAAGGCGAGAATAAACACACTCGTGTCATTTCATCTCGTTGGACAGCATTGTTCAGCGTCTGCAGTGGGGTGGGTTGGAGAGTAATGCACAGGGGAGTAGCGTATCATGCGATCAACTGGGTTCGAGTTCGTCTTTTCCCAAACTCGCTTTTCTTCCTTTTCTCATCAAATATCACATTGGAAATAAATTGCTTAACGAGTATTTAAAAATAATGTATTAATTAGGTAGGTTTAGTGTTACTACAGTAAATCCATTGTAAATATTAATTTGTGGATTGAAAAGTAGGCCTATTCTAACTGCATTGTTGTCACACAGTGTTTCTACTGTTTTCCGCGTCAGTGTTGTTGAGAATGGCAGCGCGGTTTCATCTGCCTTTAAACTAGTTTAAATCACTGTGACCTTTGTTTTGTTTTGGAGAGCTATGCTCCAAACTCGAACGCATCTCACAGCGCTGTTCAGAGGTTGCCTGATTGAGACCTGTGAGTAAACGCATTTGTTCTGAGCTCGCGCTGCGCTGTGTTTAGGCAGAGATAATAATGATCCGTGCAGCGCACTTCACACGAGTGGCGCTCTTCCGCTTTCGGTGCACTAAAAAAATGACAGCGCATATGAGTTATCAAATTGTTGTCACTCACGTTTTACTGATACATCTGGCCTAAAATTTAGTGCTGCCACCTTGTGTTGACATTGTGAAACTGCATGATTTGTAAATTATGATTGGCGGGCCACATATAATAGCCTACATTTCAATAGACATGCTGCGGGCCGTTTGAAATTGATCCACGGGCCGTATTTGGACCATGGCCGGACTTTGGACACCCCTGCCAGTTGCTATTTACAGTGAAAATAGTTATATGTACTACTTACACTAAGTGACAACAGCAGCATTTTAGATATGTGCTATTTACACTAATTGAAAATAGCCATTCTATTTTCGTTATGTAAAAGCAGCAGATCATTGCAATACGTGTAAATAGTAGCTAATTAGATGCTATTTATACTTATAAATAGTGGCAGATACTATTTGCACCTTAGTATTGTTGTACATTAACATGATGCAATAATAACATTGATTTTAATAACAGTGATTTTATTTATTGAAATTATTAAATAGATGATGCCTTGTTGGGACAACAAAGCCCTCCCTATAGCCTGCCTACCCCTAATTAATACGTTATTATTAAACACTCGTTAAGCAATTGGTTTCCACTTTTCCGATGTGATATTTGATGAGAAAAGAAAGAAAAGCGAGTTTGGCAAAAGACAGACTTGAACCCAGTCGATCGTATCATACACTACTCCCCAGTGCATTACTCTCCAATCCACCCCACTTCAGATACTGAATAACAGTGTCCAACGAGATGAAATGAACATATCACAACAATGTGGTAATTCTCAACTTTTTTCTCGAAATTCAATGAGTTTATTCTCAACATTTTATTTCGACTTTTTTTTCGAAATTTAAAGTTTTTTCTCGATATTTTACTACTTTTTTCTCGTAATTTAATGAGTTTATTCTCAACATTGTATCTCGACTTTTTTCTCGCAATTTAATGACTTTTTTCTCGTAATTTAATGAGTTTATTCTCAACATTTTATTTCAATTTTTTCTTGAAATTTTACGATTTTTTTTCTCAAAATTTAATGACTTTAATCTCGAGATGGTTTCATTTTTTGTTTATGTTTTATTCTTCCGTACTCAAAACTATTTACTGAAGAAAAGTCAACCCTTAACTGGAGAGTTGACCTATAAATATAAATTCTGACATCATTTTCTCACCCTCATCTCATTTTAAATCTTTTATTCTTAAAAATAAATGTTGCAAAAAGGGGTTTTCACAGCAATGCCATTGAAGAACCATTTTTGGTTCCCTGATGAGTTTTTCAATTAACAGTTCTAAAACAAAATCTATTTTTCTTATTGTTAAAACATTTTAAAAACCTTTTCCACTATGAAGAAACTTTTGTGCAATATACACATTCCAAGGATGTTAAAGGTCTGTCATAGAATCATAGATTTTTGTGTATTTCCTTCTATCAAAAATAAATGGTGACACAGAAAACACTATTCAAGATATTCTTTGCAGCAAGCTCCAAAATGACAAAGAAGCTACATAAATTTAGTCCATATGACTATATTCTGAGTATCCTGAAGTCACACAATAGCATTTTGTACACAGTAAAATCCTGAGTTTTAAATTATCACTGCTCTGAGCATATATGGTACCACTTTAGAAGAGTGTTAAAGTTAATGAGATAATTATGTGATTAATTAAGTGCTGATTGTGCATTAGTGATGAACAGCTGCTGTTAACAAGCAGAATCACTGAAGAAAAGAGAAACAAGAATTACAACTGACTTCAGCCACAGCCTTAGATGAAATCAACTGAAATAAAAGAAGACATTAAATCTCTCAAGATCTCAGCAGAAGATAAACAACTCCACAAACAACATCACCAGCTTCATGCATTACTAACCAGTTATACTTTATTTCTGGAGTATCTAAAACAGAAGATCTGTATTGAGAATTAAGGTTTAGATTTTTTTTTCTTTTCAACTTACAGTTTTGGTGAATAGTGTTTGCTTTAGTTGCCTCTTGACACTTTACTTTTTTTAAAAATAAGTTTCTATTCTGCTGTTACAATAGTGTTTATAAAGCACATATGTGATGGTGAGATACTTATGATAAAATCATTTCATATGTATGAGTCTCAGATTGCATTTTATCTAAATCTGTAGTATTTTTATGACTTCTATATTATTGCAGTTATATGATATGAATTGACAATGTGAATAAACTTTAAAAATCACTTTTAGAAATATGGTTCACAAAAAGTTTTAGACCCTGGCACTCATAGACATGAAGATTCAGCATGTGAATCTCAGCAATGGTGACAACATGTTCTAATAATTTTGATATGATTTTTGAATGTCACAAAATAAGGCAGTAAAAAGTCACAGCAAAAATAAAAGCAAATAGTAAGAATAAAAGAAAATACTAAGACAAAGCAGCTGCATAATTTATTCATACATTAGTTTTTCTCTGGTTGTTGTAAGTATGTTTATGAAACACCTTTGTTAGGGCAAGAAACACCAAGCGAAAATGTGTTCAGATAATATTGGCCATTTTTTTTATAACGACATTGTTGTCATGTAAAAGCCAGATTCACTAATGTCACCAGTGGTAATGTGTAATATAGTTTATATTATGGATCACAAGTGTATATTACCGTATTGTCCCGAATATGAGACAATATTTTTTTCTTGGAAATACATCTGAAAAAACAAGGTTCATCTGGAAAAAGGGGGGGTTGATTTATAATCAGGGTCTGTAATTAAATAATAACAAGAGCTTTAAAAACACTTTTCACACCAGTTTAGAACATCTGTGTTGTTTAGACACACAGACATCAAGAATCAGCATATGAATCTCAACAATGGTGATGTTCATCAGACAGATTCATGTTGCATTGCATTCTGGGTGCACCAATCATAACTCATCCATGGCTCCCAGCATGCACTGCGACATGATTAAATTATGCAGCTGCATTGTCTTAGTATTTTCTTTTATTTTTACTATTTGGTTTTATTTTTGTTATTTTTTTGTTGTGACTTTTTACTGCCTTGCTTTGTGACATTCAAAAATCACATACAAATTATCAGAATATTTTGTCACCATTGCTGAGATTCACATGCTGATTCTTCATGTCTATGAGTGCCAGAACTGAAAACTGATTATGAACCATATTTATAAAAGTTGTTTATGAAGGTTTTTCCTCACATTGTTGTCTCATATAACTGCAGCAATGTAGAAATCATAAAAACACTACAGTTTTAGATTGGTTGCCGTCAGAGACTCTGGGGGCGGGGCGGTTCATCTCTGGGTCTCTTCCAAATAGAACGGACAGGGGGGTGGGATCCACTGTATAGAGCAATACTCTAATGGAATTAGTGGGCATGACGCAGAAATAGCTCGAAGTGGGTCTCGCCCAGGGTGTAATTCAATGTAGAACCGCCACTGCGCACAAGGCCATAGAACCATGGCAAATAATAAACAGTGAAGGAAATCGATCGTATGCTATCAGGACGGCTCTTGGATGGATTGTTAATGGGTCTTTGCGAACAGATGTGAGCGCAGAATCAGACCAGATCAGAATTCCTAGTTTCACTGTGAACAGAATTGCAGTGACGGACATTGAAACACTGTTGATAGAGCAATTCAATGCAGACTTTCCTGAACGTAATTACGGTGACAAATCCAAAATGTCACAAGAAGATCGGAAATTCATGCAGTCTTTGGAACAGTCAGTACAGTATAAGGATGGACATTACTGTATTGACCTGCCCTTTAAGAATGATCCTGTCAAGATGCCCAACAACAGACGCGTAGCAGAACAGATTACCACCAGTCTTAAAAGAAAACTCCGCAATAACCAAGAGTTTCACAAAGACTATAAAGCTTTCATGGCAGACATACTTGACAAAAGCTACGCTAAAAAAAAAAGTCCCTTCAGAACAACTAGAACACACAGACCGAATGTGGTATATTTCTCACCACAGAATATATCACCCAAAAAAAGAACACAATTACAGTTGTTTTTGACTGCACTGCAATCTACCAAAACTTCACACTGACTAATCAGTTGTTACAGAAACCTGACCTAACCAACACTCTAATTGGTCTCATTAGCCCAACTAAAGCAAACACTGATCACAATAATGGTGACTTGTTGAAATTTCAAAATTTTTTCAACATTCAACATAATTGCGGGTGCAAAAGTTATATTAATTCAATGCCATTAACATTAACAAATCAACTATTTTTAACAATGATTCAGTGGTGTACAACATCACGCAAGCGCTGCACCTCGTTTACGAGCAAAGGAATGCACATGCATGCGTCGTGGTACTCTTGATAATGATGGAAGATGGTGATGCGGGGGAGAAGAATTGTTGAATAAAGTCATTATTTTTGTTTTCTTTGTGCCCAGAAAGTATTCTCATAGCTTCATAAAATTACAGTTGAACCGCTAATGTCACATGGACTATTTTACCAATGTCTGTACTACATTTCTGAGTCTGGGAACATTTCAGTTACTTTGCTGTCTATAGAGGGTCAGAAAGCTCTCATGCAGCTTTCATCAGACTTATTTCATTCAAATAAATCAAAAAAGCAAAAAACGAATCCCTATTCACTATAGAGAACACTATCTATGCAAAAAATATAAAAATATTTATTGACTATGTTTTGGTCGCATGACCTTTATCAGGAATTTTTTTAACATGACATCACAAATTACACCCCCCATTTAAAAACAGATTCATGAATTCATGACCAATCGCTGTAAAGATCCATTGATTAATAACAACCCGCAATAGGTACATCATCAACTTAAAAAACAAAAACAAACAAAAAATACCACTTTCATGTACATATACACATAAACATATCCTGTACATACATACTAGCACATACATCAGGCCCAGATTGCATTATAACATCACATTAAATAAAGCTTCATCATTCATGCCATTAGGTGATAATGTCTGAAGGGTAAAGATCCAAAACAGTTCACGTTGATGTAAGAGCAATTCAATATCGCCACCTCTAGGTGGCACATTAACCCTTTCAATACCACAAAACCGTAAGGTAGAAACATCATGATTTAAGGCAAGAAAATGAGCTGCAACTGGATAGTTCATATCTTTTCTCCTGATAGAACTCTTGTGTTCACTAATTCTTTAAGTTGATGTTTTCCAACATAACCTAAACCACAAGGACACCGAATCAAATAACACAGGTAATAACAGAGTTAATTCTATATTTTTTACCAGTTCTTGGATGACAAAAAAAACGTTTTTGATGTAGTATTGCACTGAGCACAATTACCACAACGATAATAAGCATTTGGTATAGGGCTAAGTAATCTCTGAGAAGAATCAGCAGTATCCGTCTGAAAACGAGCATGTACCAAAAAATCTTTTACATTTTTGGAACGTTTGTACGCAATCAAAGGAGGATGCTGAAAAATGGTACCCAACTCCGGGTCAGAGGACAACAAATACCAATATTTCTTAAATCGATCTCATAAGATAAGACTTAGTTGAATGCGTTGTAATAAAAGTTGTTTTTTTTTGTTTTCTTTTTTGACAACTCAGAACGTGTCTTTTGAAAAGCACTATTAAACACTTCTTCAATCCATTCAGAAGGATAACCCCTATCCAAAAACTTATTTTTCATGATTAACGATTTATCAATAAAATCTTCGTCCGAATAACAAATCCTCCTCAATCTATAAAATTGGCTCTTAGGAAGTCCCTTTTTTAAAGAAGTCGGATGAAAGCTGGTTGCAAGTAACAAAGCATTACGATCCGTGTCCTTAGTGTACAAAGTCGTTATCAATTTATCATCATATTTTTGGACCCACAGATCTAAGAAATGTACTCTCAACGAGTTAAACTCCAAGGTAAATTCCAAATCTTCCTCAAAGTTATTAAGAATCGACACAAACTCTTCAACTTCATTTTTATTTCCCAAAAAAATACAAAATATATCATCAATATACCTATACCATACGTATGTTGTTTATTTGATTCGGTGTCCTTGTGGTTTATGTTATGTTGGAAAAACATCATGTCAACTTAAAGAATTAGTGAACACAAGAGTTCTATCAGGAGAAAAGATATGAACTATCCAGTTGCAGCTCATTTTCTTGCCTTAAATCATGACGTTTCTACCTTACGGTTTTGTGGTATTGAAAGGGTTAATGTGCCACCTAGAGGTGGCGATATTGAATTGCTCTTACATCAACGTGAACTGTTTTGGATCTTTACCCTTCAGACATTATCACCTAATGGCATGGTACATGAAATTTTTTTGAAGTTGATGATGTACCTATTGCGGGTTGTTATTAATCAATGGATCTTTACAGTCTTTACAGCTGAATTCATGAATCTGTTTTTAAATGGGGTGTACTTTGTGATGTCATGTTTAAAAAAATTCCTGATGAAGGTCATGGGACAGAAACGTAGTCAATAAATATTTTGATATTTTTTGCATAGATAGTGTGCGGGATT